TTAGCCATCTTGATGGCCCTATGAGGACAGAAAGGTGTTAAATAAATAAATAAATTCATCTAAAGCAACTTGATCTTTCCATGGACTTGGAAACTCACCATAAGAAAGTTGATGCATGCAGCCTAAAATGCACGCATTGAAAGTACATGCAGGCATTGAAAGCTGCAGTGGGGGGGGGGGGGAGGCGCGGGGGGGGGGGGGGGGGGGGGATTAAGAGATTTGACTGGGGCAGCCAGCAGATCTTTTCTATAACAGAAGGGAAAACACAGGATTTCAATGACAGTATGCTTAAAAGTCCACACCCATTCTTCATTTATGCCACTGTCCAGATGCGCAACTGGAAACCTGCCCTGGGCATAGAAACAGATACGTAAGGCAATACCAATAAAAGAGAAGTTTACAGTTCTTGTGTCTGACTGCATTTTTCAACAATGGGCACAAATTTTGTTAGTCCTTAAGGTGCTACTGGACTCTTTTCTACTGCTACAGAAACTGCACATCTTCAACTACTTTTAGGGGTAGCCAATTGCTCCTTTTCATCTAAAGGATGCACGAGAAGGAACTAGACCTAGAAGTGAAGCAGGAATAAAAGAAGTATTGTGTTGCTGATTGTACTAATTTTGCTCTACATTTTGTAAATAAACAGCATCTTCAAGACAGAAATTGTTTAGAGTGTGTGCCTTCTTTCACACAACATAGTATGCAGAATGTGTTAAGCAATGCCACCTTCAAGGATTTATTCCTTTCAGCTCCATGGCTATCTTCCCTACCACCAGAGTTGGCTAATAATGAACATAACTGGCCAATACTATACAGATGGACATGCCCATTTCACTCTAAAATCTCCTGTATTGATACTGGTCAACCTTCCAAAGAATTGCACTGTTATGGCAAGAGAAACTGCTGTTCTACTGTTTACATAATCCAATGCAATGGTACAGCATCACCATGGCAATGCATCTGATGATGGGAGATTCCTAAATGATAGTATCAAAAGCAGGTTTGGGGACACCCACCACCACAAAAAAGCACACCAGGCTCCATCCTTGAACTTGTCACAAAAACTTTATAGGCAATATTTTTGGAAACTATTGCCAGAAGGATCAGTAATTTCCATTTTAAATGTATCTTCTACTGCTGTGGATTTTAAACTGCTGCTGATTTCCTCTGAAGTGTCTGAGGAACTGTGCGTGCACAGGAAAGCTCATACCTTGAATAAAACTCTGTTGGTCTTAAAGGTGCCACACTGGACTCCGACTTTGTTCTGCTGCTGATTTTGCTCACCTTTTCTCACCTTAGTTTTATTACAACTTATTCCAGGTCTCTGAAATGGCTCTTCGCCTTTATTAATTAATTTATTAACAAGAGCCGTCCATCTTAAAAAGCAGAAATAATAACTCTGCTTACATTCGACCAGAAATGGTGCCGGGACAAATAGGGTTGCCCGGCGCCAGGTGAGGCCTGGAGATCTCCTAGAATTACCACTGATCTCCAGACCTCAGAGGTCAGGGCCCCCCGGAGAAAACAGCAGCTTTGCCGAGTGGATTCCATTGCACTGTACCCCTGTTGCGCTCCCTTCCTTTCCCCAAACTCCACCTTCTCCAGGGTCTGCCCCCAAATCTCCAGGAATCTCCCAACCTGGAGCTGGCCACCCTAAGCACAAATGAGAGTCTTTGTTTCAATTAGCAGTGTTCAAATTTGATCAAAATGTTTAGAAATAAGCATCAAGATGACTTGAAAGAAATTAATCAAGGGTGATCTAAAGAAAGAAATTAATCAAACTGTGAACACGGGGTGATCTAAAGAAAAAAAAATCAGCCTGGTCCTGCTTATTGTTTACTGTCACTAGGCAGGAAGTTTACTGTTACTTGCTTACTGTTATTTACTTGGCAGGAAGTGCCACAGGGTTGAATGGGGATTACTCTCAGGAAAGTTGACTTACTCCAAGGGAAATGTACACAGGGCAGCCTTAGTTGTTATTACCAATTCCTACTATCCTTTTCTCTTCTGGTTTAGCATGTAATTAACACATATACTACTTCCTCTGTGTTTAACAACCTAAGGAATCTTGAGCTGTTAACAGTGCTAGCAGTGAATAGGTTGACTGGTACAACATTACTGCCTGTATCTTTAAAATGACAACAAACAGCTGATTTACAGCCCCTTTAATTCTTTTACAATTGCAGACCAATTGTATTGTGACCCATCAAAGTCAGCAAGACCTCATGGCAAAACACAGTTATTGTTAAATGAAGTTATATACTCTGTGGCTTCACACAAAGCTGGTTGTAAAATTCATTTGGACAAAGCTTCACAATGTATTTTTGGGGCTTTCAGGGTCTGGCTTCTGAGGTTCTTTGCTGCCTAACAATATTGATAACAAAAACCCAAACCACAAGGACGTTTCCTCTCTTAATAAATAAGAATTCAACATGGCACTAAACACTGTGTCTGAAGCTTCCAAGGGGAGTGTAGATGGAGCACACTAGAAGTGCATGAAACAATTTAAAGTTTCTTCTAAGACGAAAAAAATCCAATTCTGCCTAGCAGCTTTGAAATAACTATTCATCCTAGGTAGAGATCCTGTCCCATTTGCAAAGCCTAATTTTAACACAGAAGCTAAATCCATTCGTCCATCATATTTCTGCCCCAATTTTCCTCCGCGAACACAAGGTGATACACAGGATTTATCCCACTTCATCCTGACAACAGTCCTATGAGGTAGGTTAGGCTGAGAAACTAGGCTGACAGAGAAAGACTGAAACTAGGCTGAGAGAGAAAAACTGGCTAAATATTGCCCTTCAAACCCTGTTTCTGAGTTCAAATCCAACAATTGATCCATCACACTGGCTCTGAACAACTTGGCTTACTCCCAAGTAAGAAAGCATAGAATCAGTACCTCCTAGGGGTTTGGAGGGGATGGACAAGAAACAAAGTTTCATTTATTCATATAAAACATCAACTCTCTCACGGAAAAAAATACTATAATTCTGTGCAATTTACCAGAAAGTAAAGCCCAGGGGAATTATTTCCAAGTAAAGAGCCCTTAACTTCCAATTACTTTCCTTTACCTGGCAGTAGCACTGTTTGTTCTCAGTGACATCAGCATGTATCCAATACAGTTGCTAAAAGGCCTGAAGGAAAATGTCTTACTCCTTTAACAGAGGAGGAATAAGTACAAATGGGCAACTGAGGCTTATCATGGCATGAAGGTAAATAACATCGCCTGGTAAATAACATCTCATTAAGCTTCTGTGGCCCGGGCCTGCATAGTGCAGCCTCGCCTGATCTCATCAGATCTCAGGAGCTAAGCAAGGTTGGCCTTGGTCTGTACTTGGATGGGAGATCACCAAGGAATAACAGTGTCCTGATGCAGAGGCAGGCAATGGCAAGACCCCCTCTGAACATCTCTTGCCTTGAAAATCCCAAGAGTTTGCCGTAAGTCAGCTGTGACTTGATGGTTAAAAGTAAGCGTCTATGAAAGGGACAAGATTTTTTTTTTCACCAGGCAGTTGACAGGCCTAGTAGCCATTCTTACTGCTATGTGACAGCCAGGGGTCATTTCGGGGGGGATCGCGGGGGAACACAGTTCCCCCGGGTGAGGTACGGGGGGGCACATGACGAGGCCCCGCCCCCTGCTTCCGGCCGCCCCGCTTCCGGCCCTCATTCAACCAGGAGGAGGCAGGAGAAGAGGGAGGGTAAGTTGCTTCCTCCCTGCCTCTCCCCACCCCTGCCTGCCTGGGGCCAGGGAGGGCCTTTCAGGGCTCCCTTGCACTCCCGCCGGCCTTGCAGGTCCACCGCCGGGCCCCTCATGGGGCTCGGCAGTGGAGCTGCAAAGCCAGCGGTGGCGGCCGGGACTGTTGGGGGCGGGGTGTGTGGCCTTATGACACATTTCCGGTGATGTCAGGGAGTGTGGCCTTATGACACACTTCCAGTGATGTCAGGGGGTGTGGCATATGCTAATGAGTTATGCTAATGAGTCCCCCTAGCTCTTTTTCTATGAAATGACCCCTGGTGACAGCATTATTTTTCAGGAATTATGATTTGGTGGGGGGGGGGAGTGCTGATTCATTAGCCAAACAGGTTTGATTGGTTGCAAACAGGCTTTCTTGAAGAGAAAAGAGGCATATTTTCTTTTGAGGGGTAGGAATGATGGGAAACATAGCTGCCTGAAGAGGCAAGTTTGCATTCATTTTTGTCCCTTTCACGGCCTCTTCTGAATCATCACCTCCTGGAGATTACTGGCAAGGTGTAGTGGTTAGAGTGTCAGACTAGAAGCTGGGAGATCATGGTTCAAATCCCTACTCCCATATGAGACTTGCTGGGTGACCTTGGGCCAGTCACTTTCTCGCAGTCTGGCCTATGCCACAGACTGCTGTGAGGAATGGTGGGACAAAAATGTACTAAATGAAGGAATGTGCCAGGTGAAATCTGCACAGCTGTAACCATAAGCGGCTTCTTTGAAAGTAATTAATGAGTTTGAGACAAATGTGCTTAGGATCTTGCTGTATGACACATAGTAAAGTGCTAGTGTCCTCGTCAAACTTACTGAGACATAAGGTTGCAATGGAGTTTGTATTTTGTAGACCAAAAGGGCTCCTCTGTTTTTTATGAGTTCTATAACTAGTTTTACCAATAGCTTGCAAGCACAGACCACATCTTTGGAGAGACGAGGAACATTTGTTTTCTTTAACATCAGCACAACACAAGAGAACAACCCAGTAAATTCAAGGTATAGTTCAGACCACTGTAAAGTATACTGATCTGCTGATGACTCTACCCTTGGGCTGGAGTCATGGTGTATTCTCACAGGCTAAGTGGTGCTGTGGCGTCTGCGACATTAGTGTCTCATTCTATATTTTTTCTATTGTAAGTGCCACCAACTCCGGAATATTTGATTACTGAGAAAAAGCATGGGAACCTGCTAGTCTGCGCCCTTTTCTCTTATAGCGATATGCAGTTCCGAATAAAATCCGCTTGTTACCATAACCACCACTTACCTAAAAGGGCATTTCGCCCCTGGTCATCGGGCAAGAATCTTTTGTCTACGGCACACACTAAAAGGTGATCAGGTAAATTTGGTGATTTAGCGCCCACAAGCAGAAATCCCGACGGCACTTCGATTTGTTCATTGGAAATTGATACCAATCTCAAGTCTTTACCAGCCTGACAGAAACCTGGAGAGAAAACACAGCACTTTTAACCAGCTACCTGGGTTACGTTTGACCTGATTATACAAAAGTTAATTGAGGGCAGGGGTGTATATATAGAAGAAGAGTTGGTTTTTATACCCCACTTTTTTCTACCCTAAGGAGTCTCAAAGCAGCTAACAATCACTTTCCCTTCCTCTCCCTACAACAGGCACCTTGTGAGGTAGCTAGGGCTGAGAGTTCTGAGAGAACTGTGATGGGCCCAAGGTCACCCAGCAGGCTTCATGTGGAGGAGGAGTGGGGAATCGAGCCTGGCTCCCCAGATTAGAGTCTACCACTCTTAACCACTGCACCGCTGGAAGTGCTTATACTGCCCCCCCCTTCAGATCAAATAGCTGCTCCAGAGGGCCAATTGATGTTAGGAAATCACACACACCACTCCCGCAGTCCAAATCAGAAGGCCATCACAGCTACAATATTCTCTGGAAAAATCCTGTACATCTATTTATGAACCTCCTACGTCATATCTATTTGACCAGCAGGTACCAGAGGCTGGAAAAGAATCTTCTCTGACTGACGGTTGATACTAGGGGTGTGCATTTGGCATAAACTGAATAAATACTTGAATAATATCTTATCAGATTTAAGAACACAAGTGAAGCCATGTTGCTTCAGACCAATGGCTGACCCATCCAGTTTTAAAAACATAAGAGAATCAGATTTAAGAACATAAGAGAAGGCATGTTGGATCAGGCCAATGGCTGGCCTATCTAGTCCAACACTCTGTCACAGAGTGACCAAAAACCAGGTGCTATCAGGACATCCGCCAACAGATTTGAGAATTTGATTCAGCTAACGATATAGTGATCCTGAATAAAAGTCGGGTCTCATCAGTAATACTGAATAGCATCTGTTAGGCTAAAATGGCTGCAAGCCATTTAAACCTAACAGCTGACAGGTGGACCTGTTGGACAGTCAGGTTTAAATGGCTGGCAACCACTTCACGGACCAGTTTTGCTTTCAGCCGCTAGCAGAAACAAGGGAGGGTTTATGCTTAGAAACCAATCAAAGGCTTCTATCGACCAGAGCATGCCTGATAACAACTCAATTGTGGCTTAAACTTCATTTCCATGCTAAAGCTAAAAGTATTATTACCCACATGTTAACTGAGTCCCATCTCTCTCCATGGCTTAGATATGTAGAGGAGAAACTCTCTACAATGGGAATATCCCTGGATTATTTAGTCCACCTTTCAGATAAACAAGCCTATGCTATTATTAAACAAAGATTTCTCGACATCGAAAGGCAAGAACTTAGGGAATGTGCAGCCAGCAGATGCTCCCAAGCAGGTTGGGGACTTTTGACATGGGCTGTACTGCGAAGTATCTGTCAAGTTTAACAGCCCCACATCATCGCAGAGCATACATGCTTTCACGCTTTAATGTTCTGCCATCAGAGGTGCTTTTAGGGAGGTACTGCCAGATACCATATGTAGACAGACTTTGTCCTTGCTCTCTAAAAGATACAGAATCCACTACACACACCATACTTCATTGCCCCCTTTATAGGGATATCCAATCTCGTTTTATTACTCCACTTCTAGAGGGTAAGAGCTGGCACTCTGATGACTCAATTGTTCACTTTCTTCTGCTTAATTCTAATTGCGAAATAATGGAGGCTGTTGCAAAATTTTTATATTATGCAATCAGAAGACGAGGCTTGAATACCCAAGTGTAAGTGACTGATGCATCTTAGTATTTTCCTGTATTTCCATGATGTTCTGTGCTTTCATGCCAATAAAGGTTTTTTGTGTGTGTGTGAACAAGGGACGGAAGATCCCAGATATTCCCTCCCCCATTCTGCTAGCCTCCAGCAGCCACCGCCAGTAGAAAGGAGGGGGCGAAGATCTTCCCCCCTTCCATTCTGCTGGCCACCAGGAGCCATCAGAAGAACGGAGGGGGGGAGATCTCAGATCTCTCCCCCCCTTCATTCTGCTGGCCTTGGAGAGAGTTTTCCCAGCAGGAGCAGCTCCTGGGAGGGCTCTGTTGGGCAGTCCAGGGCTGGGAAATGGCTGCCAGCCATTTCAACCTGATAGCCCAATGGGTCCATCCATCAGCCCTCCCTGGAGCCAATCCTGTGGGGAGAACTCTCCCCACAGGCTCTGCTGGGGTCCTGCTGGGCTGCCCGGTGGAAACTGGACTGCCCAACAGCTGCAAGAATATTATATGCCAAATATTGGAGGGAAAATGAGGTACCTTCAAAAGAAGACATTGTTAACAAAATACTTGAAACTGCAGAGATGGACAAATTAACTTTAATTCTGAGAGGACACAACGAAAGAGACTTTGAGTATACATGGTCAAGGTTTTACAAATGGATGGAAGAACATAACAAATAAACCATAGGCAGAAGAAAATATGAACTGTAACTTTTTAGTTATGAGTAAAGATTTAGTAAAAAATACAAGGTGGAAAAAAATAAAAAATACGACTAGTTAATGTATGACGTAACTTAACAGACAAAACAATGTTGTCAATGGAAACCCCCCCATTTTGTATGTACATTTGTTTGTTTCTTTTCTGTTTGTCTTTTATAAAATAAAATTGTTTATTAAAAGAAAAAGAAACTAGACTGCCCAAAAGAGCCCTCCCAGGAGCGGGTCCAATGGGGAGAACTCTCCCCACAGGCTCAGCTGGGGCTCTGCTGGGTTTCCAGGTTGAAGACAGACGGCCCAACAGAGCCTGCTAAGGAGCCAATTCTGCAGGGAGAACTCAGCTGGGGCTCTGCTGGGCTGATTGATTGAAACTGGACTGCCAAACAGAGCCCTCCCTAGAGCCAATCCTGCAGGTAGAACTCTCCTCTAGGCCAGCAGAAAGGAGGGGGGGAGAGATCTGTTTCCTCCCTCCTTTCTGCTGATAGTGGCTCCTGGAAGCCAGCAGAATGGAAGAGGAGAGATCTGAAATCTTATTTCCCTCCTTTCTGATGTTGGGCTGCCCAGCAGAGCCCCAGCAGAATCTGCTGAGAACTCATGCCACTTTGAGTTCACTTGTGCATGGCTTAACTTGCAACTTTCCCTTTAAATGGCTTTTGCAACTTTCCCTTTAAAAAGCTTTTGCAAGCCGAGAAGCACACGAGTGGACTCGAAGTGGAGTGAGTGACAGTCCCCATAGAATATAATTGAGCTGAATAAATTCAGCAATCCCAATTATTCCCCGAATCTCAATATCATACCAATAATAGGATTTGGGGATATTAGAAAATACTGATATTTGGGGGGCTCAGTACACCCGAACCTGAAAAATACTGCTTTTTTTGCACACCCCTGGCTTCTACCAATCAAAACAGGCAACACTGAGCTAGGTGGACCAATGGCTGGACTTCGTACAAGGTCACCTCGTTTGCATCTGTCTACATACCTAGTCCATGGGGTCGCGAAGAGTGGGACTCGACTGTGCGACTGAACAACAACAACATGCCTAGTTATTTTGATGCAATGTGGAAAGGTAGGGAAGGGTGAGGGAGAACCATGACACATATCTGTGGGATTGTGAGGTAGACTAGGTCATGCAAGAACATAAACAAATCCTCCTTCCTTTCACCTCAAAAGAAAACAGCAGAAGAAATCAGTGTATTGGTGTATGAAATGTGTATAAACAGCTTTAAAATATGTACATTTTGCCCTGATGCTTGTTTAGCTGCCTCTTGTGACTTTGTTGGTACACCATTTGTGGCCTTTTTCATATTACATAGATGTTCCCCTGCTGCTTTATTCTGCTTTAACTGTTTTGTTTGGGCTGTTATTAGCCATCTTGTGGATTCATATATTTAAAATACATTATTTTCTTAAAAGGAAAAACCCTCCAGTAATGAAAAGGATGGGTAAATAAGTGGACATGAACACAATTAGTTTTAAAACAAATTCTATATGGGGGAGGAGTTCTGGACAGTTGGGAGAAGGTGTGAACAGGCAGACACAAGAGAAAAAGCATGTAAATGCTGTACAAAATTTCTGTACAAAATATATCAGCACCACTTTTCTCAGTGCAGTTCACAAAGCAGTGGGGTATGTAGATATGTGCAATTTCAGTGTTTGGTTTTTTTTTTAACTGTACAGCAAGGCATGGGGAATCCAGTAATGAAAACACATCAGAAGGAGAATGGCAAGATTGAAGAGGAAACCTGAGAGACATTTGTTCAACCATAACCAAGGAACTTCACAGAGAAAGTTACTCCCCTGTTAATGAGGTCCTAAATTTCACACAGAGAAACCAGGAAATGAATCTGGGCTCAAAGTAGCAAGGCATGGAAATAAGGGGGAAACTGCACCATCTCCAGGCAGCCTTTTTCAGTGACAGATCGCACAAAAATGAGCTAGTACAGACATGCCCTCAGACACATTTCTGTAGGTTTTTTTTAGCACATAAGGAATGCCATTCTAAGCAGAGCCACGTTCTTCTAAATATATTGGCTTCAGTGAGAAGTGTAGACTTCTGCTTAGATAGATGGCAACAGTTCTCAAAAATAAGGGTAAAGCACAGGTGAGCAGCACTAAAAAGGGATTTCAATGGGATAACTTTCTTCAGGATGGCATCCCCTCAGTGCTTCAAAAGGCAGACATAACTGAAGTCTACATAAAAAGTGAAGTCTGACTGAATTGATCAGCATAAAAGAAAACAAGAGACACTAGTCTCATTCTTCTGTGTCAAACAATTTTGGCATGAAATTGTTCGTTTGAAGTTATAGGCTGAACCTTCCATTTGCAGTTCTCCATATTTATGTCATTCCTAGATAAACTGGAATGTGTCATTTTGATTAACATCTTTTCATTAGAATTATATCACAATTCTCAAATTATAAAAATCTATTTGATATTTTTAAAATGTAAAACAAAAGTTTGCAGATGAAAAGCTGCTACAAGTCAGAAAGACATTAAAAAGGATGCACAATTTGAAATCTCTTGATATTCTAAATACAACCATGTTGATAAGTAAACAATAAATACTCTGAACACAATCCAACCAAAGCTAGCTGTGTCTGTTGCAGTCAAATCAATGGAACGGGATTTAAGCCCCTTTGACTTCAAATGGAATTGAGCAATGCCTCACTTCTGCTGGGCAGCGCTCTTTGGGATCCATCTGAATTAAGAACTCCTAGCCATGCATATTAAAAAAGTTCTGGGAGCTCATCTGTACACCCGTAAAATCAGCTACCATTTCTTACCATCAGTGGTACAACACCCTTCAGGAGGTGGTTTCATCTGATAAGTAATAGGAGGGCTACTCGATTCTGAACCTTCTTCGTCCTCCTCCTCCTCCTCTTCTTCTTCATTATCCACTCTACTGCCTGCTGCAAGGTATCATGAACACAATTACTGGAGAGCAGGTAATGGCACGTTCAAATAAGTGGAAATATTTTGGCTGTATCAGTGATAGAGGTTTCATAAGTTTAGGTGGTAATTGCATGTATCCAGCAGTAAACATGGCCTTGAGGATATATTCATTAATTCATTTAATACATAATTCTTCCCAGCCAGGGACCCAAAGTGGCTTACATCAGTCTCCTCACTTCTATTTTGTCATCACAGCAACCCTGTGAAGTAGGACACCCGGTATGTGAGTGGTCCAAGGTCACCCAGAAAACATTCATGGCAGAGTGGGGATTTGAACCAACATCTACCCTGTGACATGAACAGTAACTTGAAGCCAATCTTAAGATATAACTTTATATAATACAGGAAAGCAAGAGCCAGTAGGAAGGTGTCTAAAGGTATCATATGGAAAGAAACTTTTTAGGGATGAAAACCTTTGCTTGCATATCAGACTAATAACTGAAAGTACTTCCAGAGAGGAAGCAAAGCATTCTAGGTAATATGAAAGCTCTATGTGTCTGAACTGTGATGCTTGTTTCATACATGTGAGTAATCTCTCGAAGCTGTTCAGAAAACACATAATACCTAGGTGACGACATAATGCAGGGGTCCCCAACCTTTTTTGTGGCTGTGGGTGCCTTTGGAATTTTCACAAAGGACAGTGGGCACAATCACAAAATGGTTGCCACAGGAGGCAGAGCCAATCACAAAATGGATGCTTCAGGAGGTGGGGCTAACCACAAAATGTCAGGGATTGATGTTATATACAAATCTAGTAGTAACTCTTCAACATTTCAAGCAGAAACTCTCTTTAACATGATACCTTTTAATCTTCACAGCCAACCAGAAGCCCTGCTAGGAAAAAGTCCACTGAGCTGCATCCAATTTCTAAAAGCATTTGGCAGGCACCAGGAAAGGTGTCATTGGTGCCATGGCACCCATTGGCACCACACTGAGAACCCCTGACCTAATGATTGAGTGAATTGCTCCCACATTTCAGTCCTGACTGATAAAGGGCAAAACATTAGAGCAGATGTATCGAACATACGGCCTGAGGGCCGGATACGACCGCTGCAAGGCCCCAATCCAGCCTGAGAGCAACTGGCTGTGTGCTGCTTCCTGCTTCCTACATCGCAGCTCCTTTGGCTCTTCCACCAGTCTCTCCTATTTCCTGCCTCAGAGGAGAGAAAGAAAGCATTCTCTCAATTGGCTGAAGCAGGGGTCATTTCGTAGAAAAAGAGCTAGGGGGACTCATTAGCATAACTCATTAGCATATGCCACACCCCCTGACATCACCGGAAGTGTGTCCTCCCCACAGCCGGCGGCGACCTCCAGCGGGCACCAGCGGGCACCAGCAGGGAGCTCCAGGCCCCGCCCTCCCGCACCTCACCCGGGGGGATGGCGTCCCCCCGCGTCCCCCCCAAATGACCCC